CTTGAAGGCATACGGCAGCTATAGTTGATATGTCACTTGTTTCAGACATGTAGTTTCCTTCGCTGCAGAATTGGGCAGTTCGGTTTGTTTCCCATATGCACCCTCTCTATGATCGTGTGTTGTTTCATATATTATTATTATTATAGGTTTCTTCTGGGCTGGTGCAAAATGATGGTCATAAAAACATTAACAAGTCTACTTCACCGTAGCAAGATCCAATCACCGATAGCGGAGTAGTATAGCTAAAACCTAGCATATACGCAAGCCGAAAAGTCACATAATGCCCAAAATGTGTTATGCACGCACGATGGGAATTCCCCGGCCGTTCTCAAGTTTGTCGGTGATTCTAAACAGCAGTGAATTACATTATTTGAACAGGAACTGTGCATTGGCAATTGTTACGGATTTCAACAAAATGAAATAAAAAATGTCAGACTTCAATAAGGGGATTGGGCAAGGGGGTACTTGGGGCGAAAAGATCCCCCCCCCCCCCCCCGGTGTAATACAATTTTAAAATGCAATGTGCTTATAGGCATAACAACATAACGACAGACAAATTGTAAATTACAATTCAAATAATCGAACCAGAGGCACGAGCTTCCCGGCCTTCAATCTATGCTTACAAAACAATTTGAATTGAGCAAAAGGGAAGAAAAAAGTATGTATGTCGGCCCCTCATCCCAAATTGACTTTTCCCCCTTAATGATATAGACTACTTCTTGTTTTAGAAGTTTGACTTCTATTCTTAATGACGGTCGTAGAAAGATACAATTTTGTTTAATTGTTATTGATTATGAAGAAAAACTGTGATAACAATACAATACAATACAATGAACATTTAGGGCGCCATTCCCATAAGGCTCAGAGCGCTAACATCAAATAATATTATTGATAACGCCATCACGAGCGTGTAGCTCGCGCACAGTTTTTTCCTTCATAATCATTTTGCCTTCGGCGTAGACTAGAAGGTATGAGATTTAGATGACGTCATGCGCAGCGAGAGTTAAAATACATCTTGCAAGATTGTCAACGTGGATTTCGATTATGACCCATAATTTCCTAAAAAGGGACCATTAAACGGATTATTTCAGTCAAGTTGGTAAGTGGAACCGAATTATTATAGCCTAGGCCTAATTTACAATATAACATGCACGAGGTAAAATGACATTTGGGGGGATTTTCGGGGCATAAACATATGGCCATAAATGACCTTGGTGTTAGCAAGGGAATGCGTATAGTCGGCTTCCGTCTCTAAAAGAGAGAGCCGACCCTACACAAATAAGAGGCTTAACGAACGAAAGAGATGGAAAATTCGGTCTAAGCTGAGCTAAGCCACACATGATAAGCTGTATTACTATCTTGGCTGTGTATTAATATTAGCTGTGCTATTGATTCTCAACATTTCAAACACCACTGAACTGATTTCACTCAAAATCGGTACAATTGATGACACCTTGAATAAATAGCAGTAAAATACAATTTTGTTAACTTTAGTCTAGATCTACGATGTTACTTGTTAACTTAAAGATAAAGACCAGTTATGTTTATGGTCATGCGATTGCATTGTGAAAGAAACGTTGTGGAATCGATCTAAAATGGTTGATTATCTAGCATATAAGTATTGATGTGTTCCTCAAGGTTCTGGAATCCTTAAAATGATAAGAAATTTGGCCCAGTCTTGGTAAAGTTACCAGCACTGTTCACAGAAAGATGTAGATCTATATGGGACTACGCGACACGTGCGCGATATATATCAGGTCCAAATAGATATAATAATTTACCAAATATATCAATAAGTAGGCGGTTGCTCGGCAAAATTTGTATCATCATGTATTAGCCGAAACATATTTATTTTTATTTATTTTATTTATTTAAAAACATCAACACGTAAAGTTCAGGAACTCATAATGGTTGATTTACAATGAAATTGAATAGTGTAAACAAAATTGAACCAAAAATATAAACTTAAGAAGAACATATTGTTTCACACACATGGAAATATGGTTACAATAAAATATACAACGGCTGGCTAGATGTGGCTAGACCAAGGCGAGATATGACGAGGAAATCGAAAAGAAGAGAAATTACTAAAGAGAGAGAGAGAGAGAGAGAAGAAGAAGTGGTGAGAGAGAAAGAGAGGGACAAGAAAGGGGAGGGTAGAAAGAAAAAGAGAGAGAGGGTAGAGGGAAAGAGAGGGGAGGGGAGATACGGAGGGGAAGTGAGGGAGAGAGAAGGAAGAGAGAGGAAGTGAGGAAGAGAGAAGAAGTGAGGAAGAGAGAGGAAGGTAGAAAGAGAGAGAAGAGAGACAGGGAGAGAGTGAGGTATAGAAAGAGAGAGGGGTGGGGAGAGGGATAGAGAGAGCGAGAGAGAGAGAGAGAGAGAGAGAGAGGAGAGAGAAAAGAGTGGAGAGAGAAGGGGATAGAAGAGAGAGAGAGAATGGAGAAGGAGGGAAAAAGAGAGACATGGACAGGGAGAGAGAGAGAGAAAGAGAGAGAGAGAGAGAGAGAGAGAGGAGAGATATTTCAAAGGCAAAAATAAGAAACAAGGTAGATAAACGTAGCATTAAAACATTAATACATTTATTATACACATCTACACAGGAGAAGGCGCACCGAAGCGTTCAAAGAAGACACAAATGGATATGCCTGCAACGGTGCGCCTGCACATGATGGTCAACATTTTAGCATTTTCAAGAAATTCAGAGTAGATAGAATGTACAGGCAATTCGGCAATAAATAGCAAAATATAATCAATACCCTTCCCGACAATGTTGTGCAAAACATGTAAAGCTATTTGTTAAAGAGTTGACACCTCTATTAATGGAAAAACTCGCATTTCTTCAATATTCTGGATCAGAAAAATACAGCTACAATAAAGTATTGCACCTTGTAGTGGTTCTAAAGAGTCACAACATGTAAAGCTAATTGCTAAGTTGACACTTTAATGAATCAGAAAATACGGCTATAATAAAGTATTGCACCTTGTACATGTATCAGGTCTAAAGATTCACAACATGTGAAGCTAATTGTTCAGGAAAAGTTGACACCTCTATTAATGGGAAAACCCGCATATCTTCAATATTATGAATCATGTATCATGTATCAGAACATACAGCATTCTTTCACATGATTGGTAATAAGAGCTTCCATTTCATTTTTTGAAAGGGGGGGGGGGCGTTCCAAAACTGGTCTTTACCTTTAATGTTAGAAAGAATAATTTAAAAAATCAAATTGTGAATGTGACTGTGACTAGTATGAGTCCACTGTCAAACTTGCCGATCAGCCGCATCGGCATGATTGTGTGCATCTGTGTGTTATGTGACTGGCTATTCATGTATTTAAATGCTGCCGATTAGCAGTCGGTAGAGCAGTGGTCTCGTAATCCGGTGACCCGGGTTCGAAACCAAGTCGATGCGCTAGTGCCCTTTGATAAGGCATTAATCCTCATTACCAGGTCCCTCGGAGGACCTAAAGCCGTCGGCCGTCTGGTTGCTTACTAACAAGCATTCATGCTTTCTTAGCATTCAGGTAAAATAACCACCACATAACCACATAACACGTAGTCTTGTGCAGTGCTAGAGGTCAATACGCATTCGCATTGACTCTCTAAATGCTTTGCTGGAGTGGATGTAGAGTCTAGACTACTCCGTAGTTGGAAAGAAAAAATATTTTTTCTTAACCTTAAGTTAACTTTAAACTAGACTTTCTATCTTAGTAAGTTAAACCAAGCTAGGGTTCTAAGTTTTAAGCTTTTATTAATTATTAAAAGCCTTTAACCTAGTTAAACTTAAGTTACATAAATACATAATTTTAAAAATGAACCTGGCTGTATTTCAAGAAATTTACAGTTTTAGAACGGGACGTTTTATGTGCATGTCGCAAGCTCAAAAGTGTCCAATCACATTTTGCAGTCCCTAATAGACCCTATGTTTCTTACATGTTTCCCTCTTTTCTTTTTACCATGCAGATGGCTTTGTTAAGATGTGGGAGGTGGAAGGCTACAAGCTCTCTGTCTCTACTCATGAACACCAGGGTTGGGTCACTGATTTCCTCTACTGGTAAGCTGCATCATTAAAGGCTTGTTCAAACAACAAGGCAAACTGTTCGGTATTTGGAGAGGGGAGGGGGTGTTTTTGTTTCGATTCTTTATTGTCTTATTGAACTCTTCAAGTTCACTCCAGAAATAACTTACTTACAAGCATTGACATCAAACCAGTAAAATAAAAACATCAAACCAACCATATTCTCACACTAATGTTGACTTGTTCTCTCACATTGCAATGACCTTTCCATAATTTACTTTTGATCACGCGACACTGAATCACAGGAGCTGATTTGGCGACAGGTACAAGCCTAGTCACATGGTACCCACCCCCACGTGTTGTCAGTGGGTCAGGTTACGTGTCTGACAAGTACAACCTTACCGAAGACTTCTCCCTGGTGATCCATAACGTCACGGATGATGATGCAGGACGGTACATATGCAGGATCTCCAATTTCACTGGATTCATTCTCCGGAACTACACAGAGGCAACGGTTAAAAGTAAGCCTTATACCTGCTGCACTGGCCCCATTTCACAGTTATGGCATTGTACAGTGTGTAAACAAGTGGAGAGTTACATTATATCTTACTATAAGATACTATATCCTCAAGCGAGGTTTTTATTTCCATAATTTCAATACATATTTACATTAATTACTCAATGATTGAGTGAAACGAGTGAAACATTACATACAAAATTAAAGTATATACAACAATTGAAACAATAGGAGTGATCGAGAGGAAGGAAAAATCAAAGGTTTGTCCCCAGGTATATGAAATGAAAAGAATCTAACACAGTTACACAGGTAATAAACAAATTTAAAATAAGTGGTGAAGTGTGACGTAATCAATAATCTATGTTTTGAATTTCTCAATTTTTCTTAATTTTCCGAAAGAGCATCAAAAATAATGTCCTAATATTGATAACAATTGAATATGTGAAGTATTGGCTGAGATATGGCCATCTGAATAAATATATTTCCTATGGGAACTCAGTGTTATTTGCTCTGGCTCCTAATGATTTTATCTCGGACATTCAACGTTGCCTTTGCCCAACTCCGCGCATTAAACAGTAGTTTATTGAATGTAATGAGCGGCAGCCTTCTGCAATAGAAACAACTTCTTTGACTGTGTATACAGTTACATTATAATTTTTCATATTTCTGAACGATTATGATATAATTATGAAATATGGAACTATCTAAAATGTTTGCAATTACAATACCTAGGTACATATCTCTCTGCTTAACATGTACTTTTGTTTTCAAAATGGAATGTGTTCTGTTTAAATAAAGTGAGTCCAAAGATGCCTTTGAAAGAAACATTTAATGATTTTCCTTGATTTTTGTTTGTCTATATATACACCTAAAGTACCACAAGTGTCAATACTTTATTAATAATGCATATTGGTGACAGCCTTTAAACGAAATAATTTTGATTGACATGATTGACACCTCCCAGTTACCCACCGGATAAAAATCTCCTTTTCAAAAAAAATCAGTCGGTTAAACATAGAGAAAACGTTGTTTCAAATTATAAGAGTTTATTACAATATGAACTACGTAGACGGCTGGTTGTTCAGATAATATTGTAAACCACTGATAGCATTTTTTAACAGGTCGTATTATTTTTAAACAACCCTTTTAATGAGATCACGATTCGACGCACTCCTAAATAAAAATAAAAATCTCCGTTGCACCAAAATAAAATTATACGTTCATTGTATGTTATTGACAGAAGTAATATACATCGGACATTATACTAAAGCACAAAAGGGTTATCTATAGAAGAAGGAGGACAACATTATAAGAGAAAGAATAACAATTTCTCTTTTATTTATACAAAAATTAACAGCATAAATACCCTTACAAAAACAAAAGAAATTTTGAAGAGAGAGAGACTAGAAAAATGTGAAAAGGACCAAAAAAATAAAAAATAAATAAATGATAGGATTCTAGAGCGGAAGATGGTAGGGGAAACGTAATAGTTTATTAGTATTAGCAAATTTGACAATAATAGTTCGTAAGTAAATTGACAAAGTATATACAAACAAAAACGACACAAAATATTTGAAAGCATTTTAGAACTACCGGTATATAGAATGAATATACGAAAAGAGTTATGTCTGAGGCCTATCTAGATCTATGTTACGTAAGAGGAACAATGAACTTGGCCAAAGGTAGAGTTCGTTGTCATGGTTATAAACTCGAACAATAGAAGGGCGGATTATGAGGTACTAGGGTGCCTGCCGTCATGTGATTTCTTCAGGGCGAGCGCGGATTACGCTGCTCCCAATCAGTATCAGAATTTGATGTGAAAGAAAAATGGACATGCTTATGAAGAAAAAAAAACGATTATAATGAATAATATGACAGTACAACAAACAGGAGCAATTGAGAATGTTAGTTTATATTTTGCACGATTGGAGAAATAAAGTATCATAAATCGTAATCTTGAATGTTGTGCAAGAGTATTGATTTATCTTGATTTTTTTTGTGATGTGAGCAAAATAAACGCAAATTTCTAAACGAATGTCAATCAATGATTTGTTACCTTCCTTCCATTACCCCCACCTAACAAACAAAAAGCAGGAGACACATTAGTATACTTGGGGAGGGAGGAAGACAAAAAATGTATAACGAGTGCAGTTTTCACATTTTAATGAGATTTATTGAATGGAAGAGTAAAATCAACCCAAATTTTTAAACGATTATAAACGAATTTTTATTAATTGCTTTCCTTTCATTATTCATCACCCTCCCCATCTAAATAATGATAATAATAATATGATGATGATGATTATAATGATAATAATAAGCCGGAGAAACACTATCGTACGGGGGGAGGGGGGGGGGGGCACGGGGCAGAATGCGGATAGGGAGGCAGACTGCACCCATAATGGGTGGCCAGTGAAGAAACAAAAGAGAGAGTGGGGAGAAAAGAGAGAGATAGAGAAGAGAGGGAGGAAAAGAGATGAACAGGAACAAGAAAAAATGTTTTCTTTGGAGAGGGCTTTATACCAAGTTCAAAGAAAAAATAATATTTAAAAACTTTCGTAAAATGTGTTGAGTTACATGACAATGGAATAGCATAGTCTCCAAACAAGAATTCATGAATCAACACATTGGCTTTATGGCGAGCACGCAATTGTTTATACCGGCGAGAGAGGAAAAAAACACTAGTCTTTATTTCCATTAATGGCTGGAGAATTAAATTTGAATGGGGCTCACATAATGTGTCTAGATTGACACCTCCAAGTTACCTCCCCGAAAAAAAATCTACTTTTTAAAAATTCATTCGGTTATATATACACAGATAAAACGTAATTGTTTAAAATGCTAACAGTTCATTACAATACAACAGCTCGTTGAAGTTTTAAACAGGTCTGATTACTTGTAAAGTTCAGTTGAAATCTATGGAAAATAAGTATTAAAAATTTATGAGTAAAAACTGCTGTGGCATGTTGGCAGGCCAGCTTATTAAAATATACATGTATTATTACAAAACATGCTTAGCTAAATATCTGAGATTTCATAATAGTATTGGAAATTTAAGTAATGACTCAAAAGAGAGTGAACATTCAAATTTAATGGTGCCTTTATAATAACATTTTACTTTCCCCCTACAAAATATTAATGTGTGTATATATAGATAAATACCATTAACTGGAATCAATACATAATTAAAATTCAGATAAATTGCATAAATATATAAACCAACATTGTCATATCAAACTCAAGGTGCATCGGCAAGATGGGATTTTAAGTGACTGCACCATGTGGAAAAAGACACAGTAAGGACCGAGTTCCTGAGTTCAGAAGGTAGAGTGTCCCACAGCCTGGGGAACTCATGTATTGCACTGAAATGCAGTCCATCTTTGCGTGCAAAGAGATGCCTAAACTTTAGGTCTTCTAAATGACGTGGGTTCACTACAATGAGAGAGTTCACAACAGGGCATTGAATGTGTTTGAACAGACACTTAGTAATGAAGGCCATTGTACAGTAAGTCCTTCTCAACTTGAGAGAATTCCAATTAAGCACTTGTAGGCGTTCCTCATATGGCATTTGGCCTCGCCGTTGCTTCAAGGCAAGACGTGTTGCCCTGCGCTGTATTGACTCAAGTCTGTTGATCGATCCTACTTTGTGCGGTGTCCAGACAGGAAGACCATATTCAAGGATTGGGAGGACCAGACTCTTGTACAAGCTGAACACAGCCACTGATGAAAGACCCATGGCTAGGCTGGTTATCAGTCCAAGTAAGCGATTTGCTCGAGAGACGACATACCCAACATGGCTATCCCAAGACATGCGATTGTTTATGATGACACCCAAGTACTTGGTTTCAGTAACCACCTCCAGTTGTATATCATTCAGATAGTACTGCGGTTGGCCCGGTTGCCTTTTCCAGGATATTCTCATGACTTTGGTTTTGGAGGTATTCAGACTCATTTTGTTTCTGTCACACCTGTCCGCAAGAGCATTGCCATCATCTTGAAGCGCTTGCTGATCTATGGGGTCATGGATAGGTCGTGAAATAACAGTGTCATCTGCAAACAATGCACATCTCGATAAAACAACCTCAGGGAGGTCATTAATGAATAGGTTAAACAGGCATGGTCCTAGGACACTCCCTTGTGGAATACCCGAGGTAGGTGTTGACCACTCAGAGTAATGTCCTTTGTGTTGGACGCGTTGTAGTCTGCCAGATAGAAATGCACGGATCCAGAACCAGATATCGCTTGAGATGTTGTAGTGAGAAAGCTTCTGCAGAAGGACATCATGAGGCATACGATCAAAAGCTTTCGCGAAGTCGAAGAATATCGCGTCAATAGAAGGGGGTCTACGCTTGTCCAGGTCCTGGAGCCAGGAGTGTGTCAAAGTCATTAGCTGGGTAACACATGACTTATGATGAACAAAACCATGTTGGAATGGAGTGAGGAGGCAATTTCATTCCATGTGACCAATATTACGATGGTGGCCATATTGAATTTAAAAAGTATGCATGCATGGCGGCCTATAAGGGCGGTTTGCTTATGGGGCTTTCACATATACACTCCGGGGCCCGTACGGCGAGTAAAAACAGACATTTTGGGAATTTTCGGCCGGTGTCCGGCCGGGTGCCGTAGAGTTCCTACGGGCGCCATGACAGCTTTTTAAGCCGTACGGGCGCCGTGGTACTGAGTTGGCTGCTCCCAATTCTCCCGGCGTTTTTATCTGACAGTTAGTCCGTAGAAAGCCCGTAAGGGGCCCGTAGGGCACCTTACGGGTCCAATGCGGGCTCCGGACGTTCCCGGACGAGCCCCTCACGATTTTTGGGGTCACTTCTCATGAAAAATCTTTACGGGCGCCTTGCGGTGCTCAAGGGTTCCGTACGTGTACCCTACGGCGCCCTCACGGGCTCCTCAAGAGCCCCGGATGAAATGTACAACAACAGACTTTGTCTGCAAGGTGTATGCTAGAAACAGCAAAGCCACAAAAGTGAGTGACCTTAGATGGGAGTTATTCAGGGCAAAAAATCTTGAGGCAGAAAAACTCCCACCAACCCTTGGATCCTTGACACCACACATCCAGAGGGCAAACTTCGTAGCCAGAGTCAACAAGGGATACAAAGTTCCAAAACCAAAGCTGCCCCCTCTAGATGGAAATGGATGGGAGCTTTCCCCAGAAGGAACATTCAGTGCAACCAAGTGTTTAGAGCTTCCTGCGCCAAAGGCAGTCATGGAATTGGTCAAATGCTCATGTCGGAAGGCAGTGGCGTAATGAGCAAAAACGTTTGGGGGGGCTGACAAAAAAAAATCCGCAGCACCCCCACTCTAACATGCAGGCCCCGCTGAACGTTTCGCAAAGTGGGGTCTAGGGGGCAAAGCCCCGGCGGGGGTCAAGGGGAGGAGCCACCGAAGCTCAAGGGGTAGGGGCATCAGTGGCGGATCCAGGAATTTCTTACCGGGGGGGGGGGCACAAAAATGGCATTGGGTTAAATATATGTAAAACGATGAAGCGACAGAACGAGGCTTTAGCGGCGAGGGAGCGGAGCGACCACGCGGGGGTGGGTCTGGGAGGGGGTTGTGGCCCCTTCCCAGAGTAAGAAGCATTTGCAAATTAAGAACCAAATTAGACGCATTTTCAGACACTTCCTCGAGTAATATGACGTAAAATTGCTTTCTCCGATCCCTTCCAAGAGTAGGGATCTTTTGCAATTTGAGAACCACATTTGGCGCATTAATGTCCACCGGCACTTCCTAGAAAAAAACGAAGACATCTGATTTGTTAGAAGTTAGAGAAAAGTGATCTTCACGTCTTGCGACGTTGTATATATGCTTTGATGCCGCACAATGCACAAAGACAATGGTCCGGTATTTCACTTATCTCGAGTGTATAAACTGTGTCGTTATCAGGTGCGTCGCTAGATCTTTGTCAGTGGGGGAGTGGGGAGGGTGTAGAGGCCACCGATTACCGACAAAACTAGCAACCAATTACCGACAAATATATTAATGCCAATGTCCAAATGTTTACAAATTTAACCCTATAAACCAGGGGCCAGAGCTAAGTTATTTTTCAGTCTCCCCCCTCCCGCGCAAAGCGCGGAGGAAGACGATCCGTTGTACCGTTCTTCACTCTTAATTCTTGGTTTGATTTAATTCCCCTCCCGCGCGAAACGCGGCAGTTTTGACGTTTCAATAAATTATTACTCTTAATCTTTGTCTGAATTCATATTCGCCCAGCCCGCGCGAAGCGCGGAAGCTTTCACGTTTCATTAAACTATTACTCTTAATCCTTGTCTGAATTCATTTTCGCCAATCTCGCGCGAAGCGCGGAAGCTTTGACGTTTCAATAAATTATTACCCTTAATCCTTGTCTGAATTCAGTTTTTCCCCTCCCACGCGAAGCGCGGAAGCTTTGACACTTCATTAAATTACTAGAGAAAAAAGACGATTAATTGTACCGGTTCCGACTCTTAACTCTTATCGTGCCACAGGGCTAATCCCCACTGTGCCAGGTTGTTTTGGAGATAATCTGATTAACGCGATGGTTCTATGAATGGCGAGTGCGAAACACACAGCATAGCCCAATGAGCATGAACAATAACTGCTCTTACGAAAGCGCCCTTGCACGCACATGGCACTCAATAGGTAGCGTGCATGCAGCCTCATGGCAGGCTATGGGTTAATCCTTGTCTGAATTCACTTTCGCCCATCTCGCGCGGAAACTCTGACATTTCATTAAACTATTGCTCTTAATCCTTGTTTAAATTCATATTCGCCCAGCCCGCGCAAAGCGCGGAAGCTTTCACGTTTCATTAAATTGTCAGAGAAAGAAGACGATTCGTTATATCGTGTTTTTGTCTGAATTCATTTGCATATGCTTCTGGAAAGGATTTTTTTTTTTTACTAGTGTTACTGTTAGTGACTATAAAAAACATAATGCTCTTTCTGGCCATTTGGGAATGTGTCAGTTTGCAACAGAAATCGAGAAACGCGCCTTTTGTTGAAAATCATGTGATATCACGAACATTGATACATCACTTGTATATGGAATTGAAAATAAGTCATGGTTCAATTTTATTTGGGGGGCTGGCGCACCCCCAAGCTCCCCCACCAGTACGCCAGTGTCGGAAGGAATGCAAAAGCCATTGCTCTTGCAAGAAGAACCATCTGCCTTGCACAGCCCTATGCAAGTGTTGTGACTGTGAAAATACACAGGACTATGATGTGAATAGCCCCGATGTTGACTAGGTGAATATAAAATTGTAGATTATAAGAAATTGTTGTTTCAACGTCGCAACTAAACTCACATCCATAAGATTAGTTGTCATTTTAGACACAGTTGTAAGGAGGTACATTTGGTAGACATTTGGTATTTGAAATCACAATCGCATGATTTATCAGTCTCAGGTTATGCCATGCATTATATGTCATTATTCAATTCAAC